CCGCTATCCTTTCTCTACTCACATGCGTCTGTGGTTTAGCAGTTGTGGGCTAATGCTGTCGCAGGAAGGAGACCCAAGTTCGATTCTTGACTGGAGAATTAAAAAAAAATTGAATATCTCGGTCTTTCTGCTGAGATAGTGTGTCCCTCTCGGCCCGGGTTGGCCCTGATAGGCCTGTCGAAAGCTTGCGTCTCCTAAATTGTCTAAATATATTATAATTGTGTCGAAGGAGGCGTACACACATCTACATTTAAAAAACGTTTATTTTTTTCTCCCTATTTCTTCTTTGCCTCTCTTTCCCACGTAAATTGACTGTGGTTGGGCTCTCTGCTGTGGCCCAGCCCTTTTTCTGTTGTTAGTGTAATCATTATCCTATTCTATATCCAGTGAAATATGGGCTCTTCCAGTCATATAATATGCCCCTGTCCTCTTTCAAACGCATGCATGGGTGTTTCCTTTTTTGTCGGGAGATAGAACGTTTGAGAAGTTCTTCTTTATTTATCGAGATCTTTCCTTGTTTGAAAGACAGCTAGGGGGGGGGGGGATGACGCGGGTGAGGGGTCAGTGGAAGGTCATCAGGACGAGTTCTTTTCACAGAAATTGTGATAAATCGTATCAACTGGACACTCACATGTATTTATTTATGTACTTATTTATTTATTTATTTATAAACTGCTTAATGTTCTGCCTTAGTTAATTCCGAACTACATTGTATCATTATAAGTTTTATCTCTAGCCTCCCAACTGCATTTAAGTGAAAGATGCTAAGTCAGATGCATTTTTTAATGAAATGTATTCTGCCCTAAGATTCGGCGTGTGTGACATTGTCCAAAGTCGTGCATGGCTCATGCAAAACGCGTTAAACAGTGCTGTTGATTGAGAAACATCTCGCAAATGATAGACAAGATATTGTAGGAATGTAAGAAGGGTTTTGGTAGTGTCTGGAAGTATAATATTATTACATAAAAATTTGTCTCTTGGGAAGTCTTTTGTTAAGATACAGATTTACGTCACAGCGATCACAGCACAGACGGTGGTGGGCCGTTTTACAGAATCGAACCCAGGTCAATAGTTCCATTGTCAAGTGCCGCACCAGTGTTAGTCTAACAGTGCACTCAGGAGAAGAGATAGAATGAAGAAGGAATCTAACAGATTCGAAAGGACGGGAAGAGGAAGTCAAGGCGTCAAGGCGAAGGGACTCAAAAAGAGGGAAGAGGAGAGGGGAGGGGAGAGAGGGGAAGAGAGAGAGATAGATAGATAGATAGATAGATAGATAGATAGAG